GTTGTAAGACAGTATTTTTTCTGGGGGGAGGGGGGGGGGGGGAACCTGGCTCATGTCTTATCACAGAGGGTATGTAGAAATTGGGGTGTTTGTTTCAAACCCTTCCTCTCTGCACCTGATTTAAGAAAGAAAAGCTGTGAAGGAGCCTTAGCAGCAAAAACAGTGCAGACAAGGAGAGAGGACTTAAGAAAACTAAAAATGAATCAATGTTGTTCAAAGCAGCCATGGGGAATAAGAAATGAGCTTTACATATAATGAATAAAAAAGAAAATCCATTAGTGAATGATTAGAAGGATAAAAGGCAGTAGAGTAAGAAAGAAGGAAGAGTCAGTAAAACTAGCTGTGGCTAAAAAACAAGCGATAAAATACAGGGGGAGGGTATGAACATTTATCACGATCAAGGGCAGATCCAAAAATCTCATGCCCCTTCAGTTTAGCAGCCTAAGTTTTAAGTTTCTCTTCCCCAAAGTGGGATCCAAAGCTGAGAACTGGGTGTCCGAGGAGAAGCTGGTGCCATGTGAGGGTGAGTCTGAAAACTGAGCTTGCCAACTGAGCCTGGGGAGCCAGGAGCTGAGCTGTCCAAGTGAGGGTAGTTTGGGGCATAACTCAAGGACTGCAAACCAAATAGGCCAATTACAGAAATTCCAGGTCAAAAAGACAAGTGTCCTGGACCTACAGAAGTGTTAGGATTCGGCTGCTGTGGAGAAAGGGAGTTTCTGGCTCTTAGATTTTTTTTTAGAGTCTTTAAACTTGCCCGTGTCCTAGTTTAGGCATCACAACCTTCTTCGAGCCTTAATCTGGATATACATCACAAGGTACTGAGGAAAGTACTGATAAATTTGCTGGCAATCATTTTATTTTTAAAATGCTGGAAAAGCTTTTAAAAAGGAATGCAATTGATTGGTCCCCAAGATAACTCTTCAAAGACAGAAAGAGGCAGAGGTAGAAGTTGTATTTTGAGAAACGCTTCTTGACATTGAGATAACTTTGACTGCCTGTGAAGGAAGTGAGGAAAGGCACAAAACAAGGACGTCTGGAGAAAATATGGCACAGCGGTGTGCGGGTAGGAGGCTGAAGCACACGGTGCTGTGCCTCCATGGGGCTCCTCTGGGCATCTACAGGAGCAGCTCTGAGGGCTTCAGAGGGAGTCCAACCTCTCTATCCCCTCACTGAGCAGAGGAAACCACCACTCTTCGAGAAGAAAAACAGCAAAGAGCTTCCTGATGTGTGAGCAAGCCCCCAGACAGGGAGCAGAACTGGTGGGAAGTGCTGGAGAGAAGCAGCAGGTGATGGCTGCTTTCAGCGATGGATTAGATCCTGTCTGCGTCTGCGGTGTGCCAGCGCTGTTACTGTATAGGCCCTCGATGTCCTCTTGTGTGACCATCATGGTGGGCAAGGGGACAGACTGCTGAAGCATCCCCCACGGCTCAGCACTGACAGACGCCAGCATAGGTGGCTCTGCAATGTCTGGTGTGAAAAACGCGCAAGAGTAGAAAGGAGAAACAAGGGAAAGAGAAATGGTCAGAGACAGCTGTTCTCCAGAACTTCATCTTCAAGGTATTCGCGGGCCAGATTCTGCTCTCAGGTGCAGGAGTGTGAATGCAAACCATCAACATCAACTTGGGTCCTGGAGCAAATGGGGAGCTGCTGGGGGAGTATGGGCTGGGAGGCTCCTCCGGGGGACAGGGTGCTCCCTGACTGTGGAAAACAGACTCAGGGTTGAGCCTCCACGGCGGTGGCATTGGGGAGGAAGCCGAGGAGCTTGTTCAGCCCTGG